CTGTATACCCAACTGATGCCATTTGCTTGTCCTCACTATAGCACACACAGTCTTCAGATCTGGTTTACCATTCATAATTGAGAGAGGAGAAGCAGCCATCCAACTTTCAGGCTTTTGGCAACCGTCTTCTTCAAATGTCCTGTCTTTCAGAAACGGGAGTTTTTGCATGTTTGACTATTGCAATTGGGCATAAAAGCACTTCATACCATAGTACCATATATAGTAGTATTAAATTAGTGTAGTGTAACAGTATATGTGTGTGGATGTAGATCTATGTATGTGTAGTAAATGTTTCAAATGTTTTGTAAATGTAGTAAATTAACCTTTGCTTTAGCATTCATTGCATTTGTGGCTTCCAAGCGCATCATTAGCTTTAATACCAATCTTAATTTTGCTTAATGACAGGTAACGGCTCTGTTTTTATCATTTTTGTAGATGTGTATCATTTTATTAAGAAACGACATGTTGAACATTTTTATGAGGCGTATCATTCTCGTACAGGCAGACATCATCCACTGTCACTAGATAGATGTAAGAGAATGATAAAATTTTTAGATTGTTTTAGTATTGTTATTATTAGGTGTAAAGAGAGAAAGCAAGGAACAATTTGATAATGAACCATTGAGAGAGAAATTGTAAAGCAAATTTTATTATTTCAACTATTATATATCTTTAGCTAAAAAATTGATTGCTTCTTTGTGCACATAAATAGGTAACACTTCTAAAATTACAAGTTTTTGACACTTCATGTACACTTTGAAGTGGTATAGATGGAAGTATAAACATATAATTGATTGCACATAAGCTCTGATTCTGATTTACAATTCAGAAATGTACTAATTACATTAAAAGGGAAACAGTAACTGATCATTGCTAACTAATATTAGTGAGGGCTTTCCTAACAGCAAACAAACTTATGATTTCTAGTAGATCTAAAAACACCTTGCTTTAGCAAAACTTGCAACTGACCATATAATATTTTGATTCACATTTTAAAACTCATTTTCAAAATAATACTGATCTAACAACAAATGCACCAAATGAACTATCTATAATAATAACTAAATACTACTAATAACACTAGTAGCAATAAGTGCCACCAGGGTCCTGGTCCAACTTAGTCTCGCTAGCCAGACCATTCCCCAGCCTACAGTCATAATAATAGTGACCTAACTATATAGACAACACAACTATGATTAGTTTATTATTTAGGTTCTGGTTTTTGTGAGATAGTCATTATTTTGCTCTAAAACCACTCATAAGACTTTTGAAATAATTTCCACTCTTTACTTTAGCTATAGTCTGAGCTATTTTCTGAACATCATGAAAATATTTTACACGATCTTGCCATCCTGGTTTTTTGTCATGTTTT